CCTACTATAACGTAGCATTGCACCTGGGTGCTTCACCAATCAAGAGTCCATCCAAAAAATCAAAAATCAGCCTGAAATTCACAACAATTCCTAAAAAATAATTCCAAGAATACAGCTTTTGCGGTCCCCTAAACTTCCCACAGTATGTCCCCCAAATGGACCCAAGCGATGCTCTTCGCATCGTGAGGATGCGATTTTTCAGTGCATGCGAAGAGCCATCAACTTGATATCTACCATGGGCAAACGGAATTTCAAGACAGGCAAGGGTTTCGCTAAAAGAGACAAGAAGCAGCCTAACGGAAACGGCACCTGGACCGATGTCCAGCGTGAAAACGAAAAGTGGGAAAAGTACTACAAGGCTCTGGGACTCATTCCAGAAAACGAGTGGGACACTTTCAAGGAGCACTGCCAGAGAGACTTGCCCTTGACTTTCAGAGTGACAGGCTCCAGAAGCCATGCTTTGGAGGTGAACCAGAAGTTCATCGACAACCACGTCGCCAAGCTTCAGGATGAGGAGTTCGAAGGCCAGAAGCTCGCTCCCAAGAACATCGAGTTTTACCCAGCACAGTTGGGGTGGCAGCTTGATGTGCCCAAGTCTGTGATCAGAAAAAACGCCCAGTTTGCTGAAACCCAGCGTTTTTTGGTTCTCGAGACCGTCGTCGGCAACATCTCTAGACAAGAAGCCGTGTCGATGATTCCTCCACTTCTCATGGACGTTCAGCCCCACCACGCTGTTTTGGACATGTGTGCTGCTCCCGGCTCGAAAACAGCCCAGATCGTGGAGTCATTGCACGCCAACGACGAGCAGGAGTTGGCCTCTGGTTTCGTCATTGCCAACGACTCGGACTACAAGAGATCGCACATGTTGGTCCACCAGGTCAAGAGACTCAACTCGCCCAATTTCTTGGTGGTCAACCACGACGCCGCCATGTTCCCTAGAATCAACTTGGACGGCGAGATTGTCAAGTTCGACAGAATCTTGTGTGATGTTCCATGCTCTGGTGACGGTACCATGAGAAAGAACGTCAATGTCTGGAAGGACTTTACTGTGGGCAACGGCTTGGGCTTGCACTCTTTGCAGGTGAACATTTTGAACAGAGGCTTGCAGTTGTTGAAGCCCGGCGGACGTCTTGTGTACTCCACCTGTTCGATGTCGCCTATTGAGAACGAAGCTGTTGTAGCTGAAGCCTTGAGAAAATGGGGTTCTGCCGTGAGCTTGAAGGACTGCTCTGACGAGTTGCCTGGTCTTAAGAGACGCTCTGGTGTAAGCAGCTGGGAGGTTTACGGTAAGGATATGACCGTGAAGGAGAAAGGTGACGAATCTGTGCCATCTACTGCTTTCCCACCTTCTGAGGAGGAAGTCAAGCTGTTCAATCTTGACCGTTGTATCAGAGTTTACCCCCACTTGCAGAACACCGGTGGTTTTTTCATCACTGTTTTTGAAAAGCAGCCCGACACCAAGAAGGGTCTCAAGAGAACTTCCACCGAGACCGAGTCCGAGGAGAAGAAGCCCAAGGTGGAGGAGTCCGCTCCAGTCAAGAAGCAAAAGGCACCCAGAACCGCCAACGAGGAGCCTTTTGTTTTCTTGGATCCATCCAATGACCAGTTGAAGCAGTGCTGGGATTTCTATGGAATCAACGATAAGTTCCCCAAGGACACTGCCTTGGTTAGAAACGCCATGGGTGAGCCATGTCGTCTGATCTACTACGCCAGTCCCACCATTGCCAAAATTTTGAAGATCGAGGAGCAGAAGTTGAAGCTTGTGCATGCTGGTATCAAGATGTTCACAACCCAGAGAAACGACAGCAGCAACTGTCCATGGAGAGTGCAGAGCGAGTCCTTGCACACCCTCAAGAACTACTTGGGTGACTCCAGACACTTGTCTTGTAACACAGAGATGTTGAAGATTCTTCTTCTAGAGGCTTTCCTCAAGATTGACAACCTCAGAGAGACTGGTCTTGATGAAGAATTCTGCAAGAAGCTTGAGGAGATCAGCGAGGGCTGTGTGTTCTTGACTGTCAAGAGAGAGGGCCATGAGGACTGTCTTTTCCCATTGTGGAAGGGAAGAGCCAACGTCAACTTGATGGTGAACAAGCACGACACCCAGGAGTTGCTCATGAGACTTTTCGATATTGCCACTTCTGCCAAGGACGAGGGCAAGGAGAAGAAGCACCAGAAGGAGATGGAGTCGAAGAGAAGCTCTGAGCAGCCTGAGGAGAAGGAGGCGAAGGAGGCTGAGGTCTAAATATGTATATTGCATGGTCATTGACGTTCGTTACTGTAGTTTGAAGAATTAGTCGGAGGAATCTTCCACGGGATCGGTATCACTTGAAGTGGAGTCGGAGTCGGAGTTGGAGTCGGAGCTTTCAGAATCAGGCTCTTCTGAGCTGGAGCCCGCCTTTCGAGACGCCTCATCATTTGATATAAAGTCATTGAGCGAATCTGAGCTGGAGAGCTCGGAGTCCTCAGAAGCATCTGTGTAGTCCGCTGCCTCTGGACCGTGTGACACTTGTGATTGGGTTTCTTGTTCAGAGTCTGAATCGCTTGAGCTCGAACTTTCAGATTCCGACTCGCTGTCTGAATCGCTTGAAGAGCTGCTTTGGTCCTCGGTTTCCTTGGCCTTTTCTGAAGGAACAGTCTCTCCTGGAGCTTCCGGAATCTCAATCTCGAAATCCGAGTCCACATCGCTGAAGTTCATGTCCAACGATATCACATCTGACTCTTCCGACTCTGACACGTACTGTCTGGGCTGCTTAATCTTCTCTTTCTCGTTAGGGAGCAACTTTCCCTTCAAATCTTGTGTTTCTTCAGCAAACATCTTTGCATAGTCATCCGTGACAAGCTCATCTGCCCATTGCTCCACAAGCATACCCAAGCTGAGAAGCGCTGTTTCGTCACAAGAGTGCTCCTGTAGGCCACTGTGGCTGCTATAATAATGCAAAGCTTTTAGTAGATCACTCAGTGGAAGATCAGGTATCTCCTCCCTCTGAGGCACTGGTATTCGAAGAGCCAGCGGTTTGGTAGCTTCTAGGATATCGTCTGGGCCCATGGGGTTGCCCTTTTCTATAAAAACATCCTCGTAATCAGGAGCTTGCGGATCTAGTAGAACTTTCCTTTGCTTGTTCTTGGTGAACGACAGCGTGTGATGCTTCAGTCGTAGCAAAGAATCCATATTGAGCTTAACGTCTCTCACATAGCCGTCGTTACTGGCATCGTAGACATTGGCGTACCAGAGCTTTCGCAAACTCGGTTTCCTCTTCATGAGTACTTGAGAAGAGCATCTCAGTGTTGATATCGCGAAACCCAAACACAAACATTACTATGAACTTTCTATCCGAAGAACACTATAGACTAAGAAGCAAGCTCAAGGAGTTGGATCATCAAGACGAAATACGAAAGAGTCTTGTTCTGCTATGCGCCTATAAAATTTTGGCCATCTCCAAGGGAGGTTCCATAGGTCCTAGTGTGACTCCAGTCAACCCCAACGCCTTGACAGAAAAGGTTCACGACTACGAGAGGCGTGTTTCTGTGCTTAAGCAGCAGCTTTCCACCAAGGAGAAAGTCCATGAAGCTGTGGTGGACGACCTCAAGAACACTGTGGCTGAATTGAACAAACAGCTCGAACAAACCACCAGACAATCAACTGCACCGCTGAAACGAAGCTCTTTTCTTTCACCGCCTCAAACGGCAAGCCACCACAAGTCGATGCCTCAATTCACAGATCACAGCTTTTTCTCTCCAGGAGACACGAAATCCGTGTTCAGCAAGCTGTTGTTTTCGCCAGTCTTATCTAGACCCAATCTGGCTGGTGCAAGGGCTCCACCTTTGGGAACAAAGGCCAGGTCGCTTAGGGAGAGCCTAGCAGCACAGGAGAAATCTCAGCTGGAGCCAGTCCAACCAAATGTGTTTTCATCTCCTGCTTCTTCTGCTGAAGCAACGCCTATCAAGAGAGCCCAAGCGGAGGCGGAGATCGAGGCTAACCTGACCACAGTAAACCACAGCACGACACTAGACGAGGAGAGCTTCAGAAGCGCCAGTGCTGAGTTGCTGAGCAGACCCATTGCCATTCCTGGCAAGAGCAAGAAATCAAAAATTAGACTCCTCTCAACGGAAGCCTCGTCTCGAGTGCCGCTGGACCATCACGGCAAGGGCTTACTAGTGGAGGATGAGGAGATCAATGCTCTTGATTTCTACAATGACGATAACTTCGCCGAGGACAATCACTCTTCTCCGTTGAAGCCTGCTAAACGGCCTCGGGAAGAGTCTGAGGAGCCCGAGGAGACGCCGCGCAAGAAGCATGTTTTCAAGATATAGATCGTTGTGGTACACAGAGAAGGGACGTTAAGAAGCTTCTGACCCGCTGGATGGGCAGAAGCGGGAGCCAACGGAACATTTCGGACAATCTGGTGTACCTATTGAACTTTTAGAGGGATTTTTGAGAAAATCGGACGTTTGTCTCCGACCCCTATCTTCAAACTGAATGATGAATATTTCTCCTGGTTACGTGGACGATCCATCGACCCTACAATCAAACCCCGATCTGTCTAAGACAGTGGCTGCGAAATACACACAAGATCTGCAAGCAACCACTTGCCACCACACTAAATTCTATCCACTGCAGCCCTCCAAAGACACTTATTCCTGCAAAAATTGCTATATACAAATTACCAAAATACTAACAAAAAACCAACCCCGCCACATTCCCTCATCTCCCACTTCAGACCTGTTCCTGGCCGATCTCGCGATACTATCGCGACTTATCTGCCCCCAGTTGGGCCCAGTCATTTTCGCTTTTGTGCACGTGACCTTCTGAGCACTTCTTCCACCGTTTCTCCCACTACACTGCACATTTCTGACAAACCCACACTAGCCCTGATCCCTTCCAACTACACCATCACAAGCCCAGCTTAATGTTACTCAGCAAGCGCCTAATCCGCCAAGCGGCTCGCAGGAACTTGCTCAAGGGCCCTACAAATAAAGGTGTCCTGGGGGTTCGTTCTATGGAGATCCGACTTAGTCAAGCGAGAAACGCCACTTACGCCACCCACAACCCGACGATTCTTGACATCAATGTGAACAAACTTCCCCAACCAGCTTTTGCTTTACCCGAGGCTCGTGCCAATGCGGTTTATGCCACGGATGGCTCTCAGGTTACGGAGGAGTCTGTGCTCCAGATGAAGAAGAACGAGGATAAGGGTAAGACACCGGAGAAGGAGTCCGAGAAAGCTCCAGAGAAGGAGGAATCCGATAAGAAGAAGCCTGAGAAGAAGGACAAGCCAGAGGACGTCGAAAGACCCCGAGAGTCTCTGGTGGTGGAAGCCTCCCTGACTGGGGGCTCCTCTGTGGGCAGCAGCAACAACAACAATAACAGCAACAACAACAACAATAATAACAATAACGATGATGACGACAAGAACGTGCCCTCGGTGATGACGTACGCGTCGGGCACCTACCCGCCACTTTTGGCGATCGCCATGAAAGACAAGCCTCCGCTTCCGGGCCGGCCTTTCTCCATCAACATTTCCGATCCAGCTGTCAAACAGACAATCATAGAGATCTGTGATAGAAGAGAACCCCATTTTGTCTTGTTCCACATGAAAGACCCGGAGGAGCCCGATACTGACATCATCCACAACAGAAAGTCCGTCTACACCATCGGTGTCCACTGTTACGTGCAGCGTTACTACGAGGATGGACCTTACTTGCGTATCTTGGGTTACCCAATGGAGAGATGTCGTTTGGAGAAGCTCACCGTGCCATCTGAGACCTCCGCTACCGCTAGCGAAGGTGCTGTGGCTGAAACTGCCTCGGAGGGCGCCTCAGAGAGCGTTTCAGAAGGTGCCTCCGTCCCTGAGCCCGTGGAGGAAGAGGACTTCCCTACTGCCTACTTGAAGGGCTTGGGTGTTTCCTACGCCAAGGTGTCTCACTGTCAAGACGAACCTTACGACCCCAACAGCGTCGAGTTCAAAGCTCTCATTGAAGACGTGAAGAACCTGTTGTCCAAGATGGCCCGTGTCATACCGAACAAGAAGGACACTGTAAGAGATGCCAGCAATCTTTTGACATCTCCTCACAAGCTTGCTGACTTCATTGGCTCGACTACTAGTGCTACCCCAGCAAAGGTACAGGAAATGTTAGAGGAACTCAATATAGAGGTAAGATTACAGAAAGCGCTTGAGTTGTTCAAGAACGAACTCGAGGCTTATACTATCGCCGAGAAGACCATGAAGGAATTGTCCTCTCGTGCCGACGAAGCGCAGACCAAGCAAATCGTCAAGGAGTATATCAAAGGTTTGCAAAAGAACGCTGGACTCGTGGATCAGGAAAACTCAAAGACCCGCAAGTTTGACGACCGTTTGAAACACTTGAAGTTAAGTGAGGAGGCCATGGAAGCTTACAACAGCGAGAAGGCCAAGATGGAAAGTCAGAATGAGCACTCGAGTGAACTTGCCGTCAGTGAAAGATACTTGGACTGGTTGACGTCTATTCCATGGGGTGTATTCTCGACAGATCGTTTTAACGTTGGCCTCGCTAAAGATATCTTGGACCGTGACCACTACGGTTTGAAAGAGGTCAAGGAGCGTATCTTGGAATTCATCTCCATGGGTAAGGTCTCTGGAAAGGTTGATGGTAAGATTTTGTGTTTGGCTGGTCCTCCTGGTACGGGTAAGACTTCCATCGCTAAGTCTATTGCAGAAGCATTGGACCGTCGTTACGTGAGAATTGCCATGGGAGGTATTCAAGATGTTCACGAAGTCAAGGGTCACAGAAGAACGTATATTGGATCTATTCCAGGTCGTATAATATCGGCTTTGAAGCTGGCCAAGACTTCTAATCCTTTGATGTTAATTGATGAAATCGACAAGCTCGATTTGTCCAGAAGCGGTGGTGCTGCCTCGGCCTTTTTGGAAATCTTGGATCCTGAGCAGAACAATGCATTTGTGGATAACTACATTGATGTCAAGGTTGATCTTTCCAAGGTCTTGTTCGTTTGCACTGCCAACTACTTGGGTAACATTCCTGCTCCTTTGAGAGACAGAATGGAGATCATCGATGTTTCAGGTTACACCAACAACGAGAAGCTCGAGATTGCCACCAGGCATTTGATTCCTCAAGCTGCTAAGAAGGCTGGTCTCGGCGAAGAGCACATCACAATCTCGCCATCCGCGATCACCAAATTGATAGAGAAATATTGTCGTGAGAGTGGTTTGAGAAATGTGAAAAAGTTGATCACCAGAATTTTCAGCAAGGCTTCTTTCAAGATTGTCGAGCAGCTCGAGAAGTTGGAAGCACCAAAGGAGGCTAGTGCTGAAGGTGCCGCTGTTAAAGCAGAGGCTGCCTCTCGCCCTGTCCCTAAGCCAGAGGACAGTAAGCAATTTTCCGATAATGTGTCTCTCTCCGCCAATGAAGAGAAAGAAGAAATCAAGCCCTTGGAAATTCCTGCCGATGTGAAGCTTGACATCACCCCAGATGTCTTGAAGGACTACGTTGGTCCTGAGATTTACACCAGATCTCGTGTTTACGACGTCCCTCCCCCTGGTGTTGCCACAGGTCTTTCCTACAGTACTTCTGGTAACGGTGACGCTCTTTACATTGAATCTATCTTGACCCATGCCATCAGTTCTGGTTCTGGCCATGCTGGTATGCATGTCACTGGTCACCTCAAGGACGTGATGAAGGAGTCGGCGTCCATTGCATACTCCTTTGCCAAGCTGTTCCTCGTCAAGGAGTACCCTGAAAACAGGTTTTTCGAGGCTGCCGAAATCCACGTTCATTGCCCTGATGGTGCCATCCCCAAGGATGGTCCATCGGCTGGTATTTCATTTACTTCCTCTTTGGTTTCCTTGGCTCTCAACAAGGCATTACCACCAACAACAGCTATGACTGGTGAGATTACTCTTACTGGTAAGGTGTTGCCAGTTGGTGGCCTCAGAGAGAAAATTCTTGGAGCAAAGAGATATGGCTGCGACACTATCATCTTCCCTAAGGACATCGAGAATGAACTCGAGGAGATTCCCGACGAAGTGAAGGAAGGTGTCAAGTTCATTCCAGTGCTGTGGTACTCGGAGGTCTTTGATGCCATCTTCCCTGATGTTAAGAAGGAAGAATGCAGCAATGTGTGGAAGGAGGAGTTCGCCTTGTTGGACGAGAAGAAGAAGAGCAAGAGCAAATAAAGGTCTTACGTATTTATGACATCTCACGATCAGCATTCGCCAACGCTCGCCGAGTCATGGCGAGCTTCTGCATCTGTGATAGCAGATGATGAACTTATTTGTATATATTTGTTTGTATCATCGTGATATACGAAAATTCGTGTCATGAGTTGGAATGCTTGAGATTATCGAAGAAATCCCTTACTTCATCCTCGGTGACGACTTTGTTCTTGTCGACAAAACCTTGGAAGAAGTCACGGAGTCTCGATTTCATCAAGCCATATGCATGTAGACCTTCGATGGCCTGTTGACCGGGTAAAGCCTGAAGAGCCTCTGTACCCATGTCGTAAAGTGAACCGGTCGAAGAGCTGACGTCAGTGTCCTCCTTAGGCGAGTAGATGACATCTTCTCCGCACATAAAGTCAAAAGTTCTGAGCATAGCGGCAACTGGAGAGTCGGTTGGTGCCGTCTCCTTAATTTTCTTGAGTTCCTTCTTGAAATCGTGACGAAGGAACAAGGTATAAAGCTGTCTGTTGTCCTTGCCATTCTTCTTCTTTTTTGATTGAGGCTCGCCATTGACATATTCGTCATAACGAGTTTTCCACTCGTGGGCAGAGCCAATACCTTCGAAATGGGGTAATTTGGCTGCCACGATGTTGGAGTTTGTTGAGAGTTCGTCAAATGCCTCCCTGAAAGCTTCGATGCATCCCCAACAGACGAATTCAGAGAACGACTCCAACGCAGGGAAATAGGGTATAACGTCGCCTTCTTCGTCATCCGAATCGGCATGGTCAGGAAGAGAGCTCTGAGGTACATCATGCTTGTTGTCTCTTACCTCCTCCTCTGCCTCGTTGGCGTTGGGTTTCTGCTCAGGACTTCCATTCCCGATATAGTCTGGGCCCAGGTTCTTGCGATCATGTTCCGCGTCTAGACCTGGAGATGGAAGCAGAGCTAGTTTGTTTTCGCCTGTTTCTGTAGGGTGGTTACTAAAAAGTCCCGGCTTGTAGCCCATGATACAGTCCTGGTGGAACCAGTCTTCACCGCAGAATTCACCAAAGTAGCACTGGTGCATTGTTCTTGTTTCCTTGAACGGATTGAACAATTCGTTACACGAGCAAAAGTTTCCCTTGTAATTGTGATTGTAGGTGTTGCTGGAGCTGGGAACATCCTCCGCCGGAAGCTGCTGGGCCGAAAGGCTATGGAAATGTGAGGAGGAGAGACCTGCTCGTAGTTTAGGGATTCCCTGGCTTTGCAGCTGGTGTGGCCTGTTTGGAGGATGATCGCTATTTTGGTTGCTCTGGTGGCTCGAGCCCTCGTCCTGGTTACCCTGGCTTCCAGGATTGTGCTTTTTGGCGTCCTCTTTGGCACGTCTGATCCTCAACTCACACGCATGGCCGTTCTTCATTCGAGACGTGCCGCAATCACACACAAACAGACGTTTCGGAAGCAATTCCACCAACTCGTGGGTACTGTGACATTGGATCAGGCACAGGTAGCACACACCGACAGGGTTGTTATCGTTGGCTCTCAGACAGGTGAGACATGTAAAGACAAGTTGTCTTAAGGGCTGGGGATAAGTGCATTTGTCGGGTTCATAGGGCATCACCTCACGAGCCTCTTTCTCAAGCTCGAGCTGATGCTCGAGGAAATCCAACGCAGTCACCGGTGGCATGGGTAGGTGGTTTTGGAGAAGAAGAGTTGAAGCTGTTTGCTTGCGGTGTGCAGAGAGTGCACGTACAGCGGTAGTGTTTCCAGGCGATCTTCTTCACGAAGGGGGTATTGGAGGGTGGAGAAAAGTAGAATTTGATGATTGTGTGATTTTTTTTTGAAGGGATGAGATGTTGATGTTTTAATTGTTGGGATTGTTGTGGGGTTAAGGGTGTGGTGGTTGACGGTATCTGTGGCTGCGAAATGATTGTGGCTAGTGAGGAAGGCAGGGTCCTCCTGATTAATAAGAATTGCATTGATTTGTTGTATATGTTATGATGTATAGTTGATAAATGAGGCCTTTTGATTCGTGTTTGGTGATATTGTGGAATTGTGAATTTCGCTGGGGGTTGATGTCATGCAAGGTGGTGATATCAATGATACCGCATAACATGCGACCAGGGATCCTTAAAGCACTCAGCGACAGACTACACGTCCATTTTTAGCGTGAATTGTAATTCTCTGTTTCAAAGATAAATAATTTTGTTGTTGTGCAATTATAATCGTGATAATGTATTTTCATTTTTGTCGACTTGAAGATTTCGCAGCCAATTTGCAAGTTTATCACAGAGCTATCAAAGAATGCTTGATATGAAATACGTCCAGTTTCTACATTCTCAATCACGTAACAGAATTTCAAAAAGAATGATAAAATTGTGTTAGAACTCCCAATCGAGCCATTATTCGAAGCGTGTCTGTTGTGAAAGGAAGTAAAGTTGGAACGACAAATTAGAACAATGTTCGATCGAGAAAAAGATAGAATTACATCAAGGGACACAGAATTTCAATTGTTCAAACTACAAACGAACTACAAATGAAAAACTCGAAGACCTCCGGAAATCTTCAATTTTCTCGAATCGGGTCGAGAAACATGGGTCGTGTTTCGCAGCCATTTTTGTCCCAGCATAAGCACCACTTACACTTCTAAATGCAAATTCACGGACCACTCGATATGAATCCCAACAGACACGAAATTAATAAATTTTTTTCTTTTTACAAAACCCTTCCATCACCCCCCCATTCCCAAAATCCATTCTCCATTCGCTGATGCCTCCTGGCTGCGGCGACGCGTAATGCCGAAAAAAGTTAATTACGCGCGTCTATCAACGCTTTTTCCTACCACCCACTCTTCTTCATGTCTAGTCCCAGAAAAAGACAAGCTGACGACGATGATGCCTCGGACGCTCTGACGCCCTCCTTGGCATCCTCTCCTCAATTGCCCCCTTCGTCCCCTGCCATTCCTTTTGAAGACGAGGAAGAGGAGATCCACAATGATGTGACCGACTTGAATCCTTCTGACGAGGAGGAAGGCGAGGACTTGATGGAGAACATGCAGAACGATTACCGCCAGAACGCCGGCCAGGACCACTACAATTTGGGCGACGGCAACATCGATGACGAGGAATACGAGGAGTTGGACGCTGCTGAGAGACGTAGAATTGATGAGCAGTTGGATCGCCGTGATGAACTCTTGGGCATGTCCAAGGACACGCGTGCAAGAAGTCAGGCGTTCCTTGATGATGACGACGACGAGGATGACGACGTTAACGAGTACGGTCTCCCAATTCAGCGCAGAAGACGCAGAGGTCAGTACGATGAGCAGGACGACTTGATGAACGAAGAGGAAGTTGACCCTTTCCAGGAAGAGTTGTCGCTCGAGTCCTTGGCCGATGTCAAGGCTCCTTCCATCACTGAGTGGATTTTGCAGCCTAACACGCTGCGTTCGATCGCTAGAGAGTTGAAGTCCTTCCTTTTGGAATACACCGACGAAAGAGGCCGTTCCGTGTACGGTGCCCGTATTCGTACTTTGGGTGAAATCAATGCTGAATCGTTAGATGTGTCATACAATCATTTGGCCGACTCCAAGGCTATCTTGGCTTTGTTTTTGGCGACTTCCCCAACGGAGATGCTCAAAATCTTCGATATCGTTGCCATGGAGGCCACAGAGTTGCACTACCCTAACTACTCCCAAATCCACCTGGAAATTCATGTACGTATCTCCAACTTCCCCAACGCTTTGTCATTGAGAGACCTTAGGGAGAAGAACTTGAACCAGCTCGTGAAGATCAATGGTGTTGTGACCAGAAGAACAGGTGTCTTCCCCCAGCTCAAATACGTCAAGTTTGACTGTCTTAAATGTGGTGCTGTGCTTGGTCCATTTATCCAAGACTCCAACTCAGAGGTCAAGATCAACTTCTGTACCAACTGTCAAGCAAAGGGACCTTTCAAGATGAACTCCGAGAGAACTCTCTACAGAAACTACCAGCGCATCACATTACAAGAAGCACCTGGTACCGTTCCTGCTGGACGTTTGCCTCGTCACAGAGAGGTAATTTTGCTCTCGGACTTGGTGGATGTCGCAAAACCAGGTGAGGAAGTCGAGGTTGTTGGTGTCTACAAAAACAACTATGATGGTGGACTTAATGCCAAGAATGGTTTCCCGGTCTTTGCAACCGTCGTTGAAGCCAACTCCATCAAAAGAAAGGAAACATCCTCCATGTTCACAAGTGACACAGGTGTCTCTTCGTGGGTCGAGGAGGACGAAAGAGAGTTCCGCAGGCTTTCCAGAGAGAGAGGCATCATTGACAAGATTATTAGCTCCATGGCTCCTTCCATCTATGGTCATCGTGATATTAAAACAGCCATTGCCTGCTCCTTGTTCGGAGGTGTTGCCAAAAACGTGGATGGAAAGCATTCTATTCGTGGTGATATCAACGTCCTTTTACTCGGTGACCCCGGTACTGCTAAGTCTCAGATCTTGAAGTATGCTGAGAAGACTGCAAACAGAGCCGTCTTTGCTACTGGTCAAGGTGCTTCTGCTGTCGGTTTGACGGCGTCTGTGAGAAAAGATCCAATCACTAGAGAATGGACGTTGGAGGGTGGTGCCCTTGTGCTTGCAGACAAAGGTACTTGTCTTATTGATGAGTTCGATAAGATGAATGATCAGGATCGTACATCCATTCACGAAGCCATGGAACAACAGTCGATTTCCGTCTCTAAAGCTGGTATTGTCACTTCTTTACAGGCGCGTTGTGCCATCATTGCAGCTGCTAACCCAACTGGTGGTAGATACAACTCCACCCTTCCTCTCGCTCAAAATGTTAACTTGACCGAACCTATTTTGTCTAGATTCGATATTTTGTGCGTCGTGAGAGACTTGGTGAACCCAGAGCTGGATGAGAGACTTGCTTCTTTCGTGGTTGACTCTCACATTCGTTCGCATCCATCCAACGAAGAGTTGAATGACGATGAAAACGACGATGCAATGGACGACGGCAAGAGCCGTCGTGACAAGATCACCCAGAACAATGAGCAAAGAGAGAGTGAAATTTCGCCTATTCCGCAAGAGACATTGGCCAAGTATATCAGCTACGCTAGAGCCAAGGTGTCTCCTAAATTGCACCAAATGGACATGGACAAGGTTGCTTTGGTTTACGCCGACTTGAGAAGAGAGTCTATTTCTACCGGCTCGTTCCCTATCACTGTCCGTCACTTGGAGAGTATCATCAGAATTGCGGAGGCATTTGCTAGAATGAGACTCAGTGACTTTGTCAGTCAAGGTGACTTGAACAGAGCCATCAAGGTGAGTATAGACAGTTTCGTGGGAGCACAGAAGATCACAGTGAAGAGACAGCTCCAGAAGTCGTTCATGAAGTATACTTTGCCAAGCTGGCGTTAGGTGCAATGCGGTTAGTTTTCTTGTTTGTATTAGCTACGGATTTAGGCTTAATTGAATTAATGGTTATAGACTACTTGAAGTAGAGAAGGGTTGCAAAAATGAAGCGCATCGGGCTGAAGCAAAATAAAGAAGAAAAGGCCATAAATGGCAAAAAATAGGTCCTACTGGGGTTCGAACCCAGGTTACCGGAATCAGAATCCGAGGTGATACCACTACACTATAAGACCTGTTCTGATCGAAAATGGGGCCTGGTTTACTATTAGCAGCAAAATGAACAAAACCTTCCAAATGACTTTATAGTGTCGGGAATCAAAACTTTGGATCAAGGGTAATGCGCTCTCAAATTTTCAGCCCAGTAGCCCCTCTGGCTGTGGAGAAAAGCGAAAAAGTGTCTAAATTCACGTGACTAGATATCAACGCGTTAAGGCGAGACATACATCATTCTCCTTCAGCAATGCTTGACCTAGATAAGTATGTGAACATCTCCGTTCGAAAGCAATTAGAACTAACAGCAGAACCATAGAAGACATCAAGCAGTGCAAGCACGTGCCTGAACGTGATGTGGAAGAGATTTGCCTGAAGGTGATCGAGGTGCTTGTGGAGGAAGCCAATATTCAACAGATATATACGCCAGTAACGATATGCGGCGACATACACGGTCAGTTTCAGGATCTACTCAACCTTTTTGAAACAGGAGGCGAGTGCCCACAAACTCAGTATTTATTTCTCGGAGACTTCGTCGATCGAGGCTTCTATTCCATAGAGAGCCTTTTGCTCCTCCTCGCACTCAAAATAAGGTATCCCGACCGACTAACCTTAATCAGAGGCAACCACGAGTCAAGACAAATCACCACGGTTTACGGATTTTACGACGAGTGTCTTCGAAAGTACGGTAGTGTCAATGTCTGGCGCTACTGCTGCGAGGTGTTTGACTACTTCTCACTTGGTGCAATAGTGGGGGGTCAAGGAGGCGTTTTTTGTGTTCACGGGGGCCTCAGTCCCGAAATTAGCGATGTAGATGAGATAAGGCGGCTCGACAGAAAACAAGAGGTGCCACACGAGGGCGCCATGTGCGATTTGCTATGGTCCGATCCAGAGGACGTGCCCAAATGGGCGGTTCTGCCTCGAGGCGCCGGATACCTTTTTGGCGAGAACGAGGTGAACAAGTTTTGCCATAAGAACGATATTCTGCTTATTGCGCGGGCGCATCAGCTAGTGATGGAGGGTTACAAGGAGATGTTTCTGGGGAGCTTAGTCACGGTATGGCTGGCGCCCAATTACTGCTACCGGTGCGGGAATATCGCCAGCATCTTGAGCATCAACGACAACCTAGAGCGAGAGTATAAGGTGTTTGATGCAGTGAACAAGGACACCAATATGATGCCGCTGAAGAAGCCTGTGGTTGACTATTTTATTTAGTCGACATAGCTGCAGTGTTTTCAACGTGTGCGTGGCGAGCGGGAGCGGCTCGGATAGACGAGCAACGTTGTCCTGCCGCTACGCTGAACCCTTAAATGGCTTAGGCGCTTGTTTTATATTTGAAGGGACAATCGGGGACCCTTCGGCAAAAGAGATCGGCCGATCGCGATTGTCTTCGCGGCGATCAAATGCTGGCGATCGATCAAAGTCTTAATAGAAATAGCGTGGGTGCAAAGAATTGGCGGAGCCAGGATGGGGGCTGAGGTCTGAGCCACGCTGCGCAGGCGGTACGCGAGCGAGAAAACAAACATACAAAAAAAGACTAGGTTAACAGCTCGGGCATGATTCCGAAAAGTCGCGAATATCTGCGAGACAGAAACACAAGATTGTGAAACACAAGATTGTGAAACACAGTCGGGGCAATGCTGACATATGACAGGAAAGGGGGATCTTTTTGTGAAACACTATACCGGGTGGATCCGGAATGCGGCCCGATGGCCGGAGAAACATTCCCCGACTACGGGAGAGAGTGTGTGGTTGCTTCGTTGGCAGGGGTGGCTCAGAGTGGCTCGGTGTAAGCGAGACGGAATTAGAGCAAAGTGTTCCATGAGGTGCTCCTGTGTGTCGCTTCCCCTCGAAAAGTCTATTGTTCCAGCTTTGGTGCAAGCGACAAGAAATGCTGCTATTCTTGTCCAGGATAGTTGCTAGGTCGCGGCTCTTAATCTTTTTGCACCCAGCGCGGGCGAGATCCACGCGGGCTACTCATGCGATGGAAGGACAAGCAGGAAGGCTCAGCGCTATCACACGTTCGGAATACGCTGGATTTTCAAGGGGCTACCTGATCAGCCTAACGGGTGTTCCACCTTCCGCCTTGGGTATCAATTTTGGGGCTTGAGCAGGTTGTTCCGATGCGCAGCTCCTTCTTTGCAGGGTTGCATACGCTGGCCCATGTTTGCCGTAGGCCCCAGCAGCGCTCTATCCGCGTATTAGCAGACGTACGTTACCTCGGCAAACGTCAGTGGGATCATGGTGCATTTTACATGCTGCAACCAAGAAGGTGCAGAAAAAAATTGCATGGCATCTCATAAATAAGCGGCTCCCTCCTGATTTGCACCCTTGGCCAACTTTTTCATTTCACATCCTACTCATCATGAACGTCTTTTTGATCTGGTTTTTGGCCCTTTTCAGCGCCGTCCTTGCAGCGGACTCCACTTCCTCATCCTCCTCCTCCTCGTCATCATCATCCTCGTCTTCCAGAGAACCCACCATGATCTGGGCCACAGGCACGGACGCCGACGGCAAGTTGGCCACCACTCAGAGCACTTTCTCGCAAACACAATTTGTTGAAAACACCAGCACGACGTCGGTGTCATCTGGAAGCGTCGGCATGGGCTCCATCTCTGGTGAGGTGGGCAAGGTTACCACGTACTCTCAGGTGACGATCACCGCTGGTGGATCATTTGCATATGGGTCTGTGCCTGGGCCTTTGCGCTCCAACATGCCATGGAAAACGGTGATTGCCGTGGGAACATTCGTTCTTGGTGTGGCCTTCATTTAAGGGTCACCACCACCCTCTAAGCATTTCATGGACAAGGCCAGAGGTCTTGTCTCTAGCATTCGATTACATTTCATTTTACGTTTACGCAAATCACGTTCACATTCAGGGTTCTCTGACAGAGGCGTGGCCTAGGCGTGGCATAAAGCCGGGCCTAAGCCCGGTGCTTAGGTGTCAGCTGGCCGCTGCGGTTATAGAAAAGAGACATGAAGGTACAGAGTCCGGGAAACAGAATGTTTGTAGTCTAGGCCAGTTGCTGCGCTGGCCAATATTGTTTTTATTGGTTGCAGATATTTATTTTCACAAGACATTAGTCATAGAGATCGAATCATGTAGTAACCATTGCGATAAGCAAAACAGAAAACCTGAAGTCCGATTGAAAAAAATCTGCAATGAAGGCAAAAAAACGCCTCCAACAATAGAATTCCAAATCTTTGTGGCAAGTTCGGCGTTTTTCTTTCAAGGCCGGGTTCGGCTGGTTCCATGGGTATTCTATGCAACTCGCACTGTGGCTCAAGAATGATAACACAGTCAAAGTACTAACTAGTTACTCACCATGTCTGAAACAGAGCCTTTGCTAGGTACGCCCAAGAATGCATGGGGTCTGGTGCTGATTCCAAATCAGGGGGCCGTTGCCCGTGATCATGTATGTATAAATATCCCACAGGAAGTTGATGTATAGATAAGAGAGACCGATGATGTCAGCTTGAGCACGTAATGGAGGGTTTAATGAACAACGCCCGAGTCGACAGAAATGCCTGGATTAGCTAGTGGACCTGCTTGTACTGGCTTTGGGTGATCTGATTTACAGATATTTTGATTTTCAGAATGCATGGGTGGTGCCTTGGGCGGCTCGATTAGGTATAAGCTTGAAGGAGGTGGTGGACCAGGACGTTCATGAGAATGCGACGCTGGCGGGAGCTGATCAGGGATATCAATGAGCAGTTTGGGAGGGTTAGAGCAATGAGCTAGCGAGATTTTTAAATTCACCGAATTTTGTGTTTCCGCCGTGCCATGGAGGACCCTTGTGGAGACTTGGTGATATGAGGAAGCACCACAACCGCTCAATCAGCTTCGATATGTTGATGATAGGAAGCTGCCTTCCATTAAATCGCTAATTGCTATGTTTCCGTTACCATGCCATCTGTCAGAGTTGCCCGCTTGGCTGCAAACAACTCTCGACTGAGCAGCTGCTTGCCTCCCAAGCCACCCTCCACGAAGAGCCACATTGCTATTTATTTTCCATTTCACCACACCTGACAATCCAATTGACCCCCCTTTGGGTCTCGTGTACCCATTATTACGCGATCATACGACTGAGACATGCCGAGGATTCACATCACTACACTGGTCTTTCAATCTTTACAAAACCATTCAATTCCAAAATCAATACTAACTACAGATGGCCAATGAACGAACCTTTCTTGCATGGCTTCGAACCTCGCTATCCCTCACAACCATAGGTATCGGAGTGGTGCAACTATTCAAGCTTCAGCTCAAAGGTGAGTATGACGAGATGGCCAAATTTGGCAAGCCCATTGGGGCTGGTTTCTTCTTTCTCGGCATCCTGTGCCTTTTATTTGGTTGCTACCGTTTCTTCAATGTTCAGGGATTGCTTTTGGAGCAGAAGTACCCCATTTCATACTTTTCCGTGCTGCTGTTGGTAGCGTCGGTGTTTGTGTTGGTTTTTGCTACCGTGGTTGTCGTTTTTACTCAGTAGGCGCTGGCGCCAATACTAGGCATTGGATGCCATGGCTATAGCCAAGATTAGATCACCGTCGGTGCAGCCATTGTTCGCAACGCTGCCTTGTCTTGATAAAAAGAACAAATGACAATGCACATGTGTCACAGCAGATCTTCAGGACAAGGGGTATAGAGATAATGGAGTTGGACCGTGAATCTGCTTACACGCGTGAATTAGACGAGTCGTGATTTGCATTGATTGATTGAATGTGTTGTAGATACGACCTCAGCTGAGACTACCCCACAATCTCTAGTTTTTTCTGAATAAAGGAACAATGCTGTTTCAAGCAATTACGGAATTCATAAATTCTTCGAATTATACCTTACGACTTGGCCACTCTGATGGCTCTTGCCCAACATCTTGGGTTGAGTGTGAGGGCGCAAGCCCTAGCTGCGCGCACGTGGTGCACATCACCGTTTAGCCATCGCACGATTCTTGCCTCCGCACCACCTCAATATGGGAGAAAAAAATTATAGCTGATCTTTCATCTACCGTATAAACTTATAACTAAACAAAATGGTATGTCCAAAGAAGCCCCAAAACCATGAAACGACAAAGCGGCCACGGTCGTGATATTGAACCCCTCCCAAATTTCAACTTCCATTAGATTATCCAAGTTTCATGAAACCTCGAACTCATTACTAACAGCCCAGGGTAAAGTCCACGGTTCCTTGGCTCGTGCCGGTAAGGTTAAGTCTCAGACTCCAAAGGTTGACAAGCAGGAGAAGCCAAAGCAGCCTAAGGGCAGAGCTTACATGAGATTGTTGTACACCAAGAGATTCGTTAACGTCACCTTGGTCAACGGTAAGAGAAAGGCTAACTCCAACTCCGCTTAAGCCCTTTGCACGAACGCTCCGGCGATGTATATCTAATACACTACAAATTGATTTGTGAAGTATGCTATTAAATTAGTGGCTATTTATGCTATTTCCATTGCGGGTGGATTTTGAAGCAGTAGACCCTAGAGCGGATTTCCGCTGTGGCCTCGTCCTCCTCGAACATTGGCTTCCAGTTCACACAAGCAATCTTCTCTGCTTTGAAGTCGAACTGTTCGCAGGTTTCGAAGAACTCTAGGTCGTTCTCCAAGAGATGCGGTCTGTGAGGACTGAAGACCACAAGGCCAACACCTGTAGATTTAAGAGAGTCTCTGCACGTTTTGAGTAGCTTCAAATGCTCTGTATGGTTGAATACAAGATCTGAAAGAATGATCAAATCGAACTTATCCTCCTCCTTGACCTCTGTAGGCAAGTCACCTTCTTCCTTGTCGTCGTAGCAAAGGGCATTGACGTCATTGCCCCAGATGTAGCCCTGAGCTTTCACAACCGTTCCCTCTGGGAATCCCTCACAATGATCTATATTATACTGGATGTGGCTCATCAAGTCGGGATCTGGGTAGTCTGTGCTGATCACTTTTGAAGCTCCGTTGACTCCACAAACAAGAGATGGAAGAGCACCGGCGGCGCCGAGTTCCAAAACCTTCTTGCCTTTCACAAGCTCCTCCGCATGTTCGTCGAGGTAGTTAGCTGTGTATTTGCCGGCGTTCCAGAGCAAATGGCCCCATAATGGAGATTTTCCAACAAGCTTTAGCCTGATGGTTCCTTTGTTGTTGAGCCGCTCATACTCGTCGAAATGCGACTCAGGTGGAGGAGGTCTGAAGTCCTCTGGTTCTTCGAAGAGACCAGCGTCTAGCTCTGTGTCTGACATTGGCGAACTGGAAGATGAGATGTAGATAATGGAGATGGAGCGATGTCTCACGATGCCACACCAGTACCGCAGCCTGGCCCCAAACACCGTTTTGAATTTAAGTAGTGTGGAAGAGAGGATGAGGAGGAGACGATTTTGATCATGACGATTTTCTTCATATATTAGTGTTACATGGTCTGGTCCATCGAGGTGTAGATGTCTCTGCGATGTCGTTTCGCAGCCATTATGTTGAAGCCGTAAGATGGACCACCAACAACGAAACCAGAAATTCACCAATAATACAGAAAAGACAAAGTTTTGCTATCTATCCTAATAAGCAAGTCATTTATAAAATTCTTTCGGTTCGTCTACATAGAGGATGTACGGGTGCAGCATATATGGTGATGCTCTGCGCTATATCCCACAGTATGTCTAGGTACACCTGGGATAGAATCCCACAGGCATTGTCCCACACCCTACATGTGTACCAGGCAGCTTGCCAAAGACAGATACCATATCAAGATGGCCTAATACGTGAATTTTTCAGGCGTTCAGCTGACGGATACGAATATTTCCATAAATCCAAGCTACAGCATCATAGCATGAACAAGAAGCATTTCGAGCCCATGGTGGCCGAGGTTCTAGAGCCAATCACGAGAAATGCTCTTAAAACTGAGGGCGTCGAGGCCCTCACTGTGGACGATATAATGGCCAAAGCGGGCTTTGATATGAAACCCACTGAGGCTCTCATCAGCGATAAGCGAACTCACACAAGAAACACAAGTGACTTCCAGGCCCACATTATATCCTCATTTGCAGCTGCCTGCTCACCATTCCAAAGCCTACCAAAGGCCAAGGGCTCCACAAAATCATTCCATTGGTACAGAAAGCTCCTCAGTTCCACCCCAATCATCATATTCCTACGCCAGAAGCAAAGGCTACTAGCGGAGGCGACGCTTCTGCAAATCAATCTCCCGTTGGAGGACCTTCGTGAACAGATCGAAGCAGCAGCATCAAAATACCGTCGTTCTGACTCTCCAAATCAAAGGATACGAAACTACCACTTGACTGACATGGTGACTACTGATTTGTTCCGCCTTGCATCTTTGGCTCTGAACGAAAGTAAAGTCACAGACTGGCACGATATTGATTTCTGGGCTTCGCTACAAAAACCGGATCCACTAAGCGACAAGCTTATAGAGATGCAAAGTCCGCACATCGTGAAGAACAAAGCAGCAATCGCCTTGACGGATAACATCGAGGATGAGTATCCCTTCAAGGATTTGCAAAAGAAAATCCTCACTCAGGACGGGCTTCATCTAGATGGATATCCATACGATGTGCAATACTCAGACATGTACATACTTACTATCGAGGAGCCTGTTATCCAGGACAACCACGGACCACTTCTTGATGTTCTAGAGCTGAACAATGAGATCGAAGTTGTGGCTGCCCGTTTGAACCTTAATTTTCCAGACGTCAACGGACTCCTTTCCAAGGCAGTACCACAGCGCATTCGCAGCCAAAGCATGAACTACAACGACTTGCTCAAATTGGCTCAAAATAACGAAAAGCCGTCCAATAACGACTTCCTTGAACGTTTAGGACACCTTGGCCTCGTCTCCGTCGAAAAGGGTGTCGCCAAAAACACCATCTCTATTATGGGGACCTGACCGGACTGCACGCAACGCAGGGTCTAAAGCGCATCTGGGGTGCCGTTCAAGAGAATATCAACCATGACCTTAAGAGCTTTTGGCACTCGAGGCTGGAGACCGGTCCAGCTTTTATTGGTTGTTGCTAGTATATTGTTGTTTTATGCCTGGCGCAATAAACTGAATAACGACGCAATTACAAGGCAGAGATTATACAATAGCTCGATTCTCACGGAGGATGAACCAAGTGTTCCTGATGATTCGCTTGTTCAGAGTTCCGATGCCAACAAGGGTAAATGGACCGATGAAATCACGCCAGAATTCCTTGCTGATTTGGACAAGAAGACAGAAAAATGTGTGAATTACGTTGACTACTCCAAGAAAGCTCACGCACCTTACTCCACAGGCAAGTACAGATATCCTTTCATGAGGCCGCCATTGAAGTGTCGGACATTCGCTTCTGATGCGGTCGAAAAGCTCATAGTGGACTTGAAGCTGAAAATCAAGAGCCCAGACCTTGCTAGGTTAGTCGAGAACTGCTTCCCCAATACTTTGGACACCACTATCTTGTGGCACAAAGATGGGTCCTCGAGCTCGAGCAAGATCTCTCTGTATCCAGAGACTTTCGTTGTCACTGGCGATATCCATGCTGAGTGGTTGAGAGACTCGGCTCGTCAATTGTCTGTATACCAACCGTTGGTGAAGTACGACGAGAAGTTGAAGCAATTGATCAAGGGAGCCATCTACACCCAGGAGCAGTACATTATGAACTCTCCATACTGCAATGCCTTCCATCCGCCACCTAATTCTAATGTCAAAAAGGGAAGCACCGCTAAGGATAATGTCTACCCAAGGCCGGACTGGAACCAAGTCTTTGAGTGCAAGTATGAAATTGACTCCTTAGCATCGTTTCTCACGCTCACAAATGAGTACATCGACAATACGGGTGACCTTTCGGTCATTACCAACCGCTGGATCAAGGCCTTTGAGAAAATTCTAGTGGTTTTGAAGAGAGAGTCGCAGCCATCTTTCGACCCGGAGACGGGTGACGCCTTGCAGTTTTTCTACTCGTTTAAAAGAGATACTAACATTGGCTCTGAGACGCTTCCTCTAGATGGAGTTGGAAACCCTGTCAACTTTGACACAGGATTGATTCGTTCCGCATTTAGGCCATCCGACGATAGCACTATACTACAATTCTTCGTTCCTGGTAACGTTCACATGTTGACAGAATTAAAGCGAATTCGCAGATACCTCTTCGAAAACGATTTGAAATTCAATTTTGACTTGAGTGTTCACAAGGAGCACACTGATGCCTTCATTGAGGGCATTGGGAAGGGTATTCAAGAGCATGCCATCGTTGATCATCCCAAGTGGGGAAAGGTCTACGCATTCGAGACTGATGGCTATGGCAGTAGTGTATTCATGGATGATGCCAACATTCCATCTTTGCTTTCTTTCCCAGACTTGGGCTACCTCGATGTCAATGACGAAACATACCAAAGAACAAGAAAGATGATTCTTTCGAAGTCCGGAAATCCTTATTATTTGACTGGCCGTCATTTCCAAGGTATTGGTGGTCCTCACATTGGCATTGAGAATGCTTGGCCAATGTCTCTCTTGATGAGAATTAGAACGACAGACGACGACAATGAAATTCTTGAGAGCTTGAAGTATGTCATGAGTACAACCGCTGGTTTGGGTTTGATGCACGAGAGTGTAAAGGTGAACTCAATGAAGGGATTGTCATACACCAGGCCTTGGTTTGCTTGGTGTAATTCTGAATTCGGTAAGACGATCTTGCACTTGGCAAAGCATAAACCACACTTAATTTTCAAGGATGAGTTTGCCTCCCAACCCTACGACCTTGATGCCCTATTTGCGTGATACATGAAATACTTAATTCTCTATAAGAGTTGAAATGACTAAAATACATGATAGACTTACTGCCTTATGTAGTTGGCGATGGTTTCTGCGGTTTTGGAAGATGCGTCCTTCGCTGTGTCTTCAAACGCAGCCTGGTATCTTGCCTGCAATTCGGCATCGGTATTCTCGCTAACCTCTGCATTTCTGTCTTCTGGGAAGGTATATTGCCTTTCACCCTCGTCCTCAGAATCTCTGTCAACCTCTCCGTTATTGTCGTCCTCGTGCTCGAAGTCCGAGAGAACTTCAGAATCCTTGGCACCTTCACCCTTCTTGATATCCATGTCCTTCATTAGTTTGTCCAAAGACTCGGTCTTTCTCTGCTTCTCTTTTTCCTCCTTCTCCTTCAAAATTCTATCTCTCTCAGCCTCATAAAACTCGTGATATTCATCGACTTTCTTGTCCACGGCATCCATGAAACCATCAAAGCCCTCTCCAGTGAATGCGCTACAGGGCACGACATCCAATTGTGAGTAGAACTCCTCCAACATGAGCGACATGGAGTTTACCAAGCTGCTCATGTATCCTGATGACGAACCGTCTTCGCCATTCAAGTCTTTATTGTTCATCATGGCCATCTGGAAAGCCTCGAAATCTTGCATCCATTCGACAGCAAAATCGGCCTTCTTGACATCCGTCTTGTTGAAAACAACAATCATGGGCAATTTTGTCTTGTAAAGAATGGAGCATGCGTACAACATGTTGGACATGAAGGTGGTGGGCGATGTGTTTCTTGGGGTATCAACAATGTAGGCAATGACAGTTGGGAAAGTAGATGCAAAAGACTCCGTGATGATAGAGCCAGAGGCAGACCAAACAAAACACTCGATTTGACCTGGAGTATCGACGATGACGTTTTTAATCTTATCTCCCTTGGAGTCAACGAGCTTGATTACCTGGTCAACCTTGGTGGAGAACAAGTTAAGGGATGTGACAATTGCACCATTGGGGCCCAATCCATACTCTTGCATAACCTTCTTGTAATTGACAGAATCACGAATGTCAATATTGGGGCTATAAGGGGTCTTGAGGACGGCAGGATCTAGGTTAAGAACGTATGGTGGGTTCTTCTTCTCATGAAGGTGTGCATTAAGTCTCTGCATGAAGGTCGTCTTTCCAGAACCTGCCATACCAATGCAGATGATGGTAGCGGGCTTCTTTTCTGTCGTCAGCATGCTCAGGTTGTATTTGATGAACGGGAAGTAGGTTGCGATGGGATGTATTTCTAAGATTCGATAGATGTGCGACCAAAGTTGCACCCGTGCACCCATACATTAGCCCCAGATTCCACATCCAAGTTCAAATTCCAGGTAATCCTCAGGAAATGATTTTGAGGAACTTCAGAATCTGTCACCTAATAGTTGTTCAAAACCCTGGCAGCAATGCCGTCGTAGACCGACTCGTGCAGCAAAATCTGGATACTCTCGCTCTCAGCCTTGAAGACCTGCTCCGGTTTTGGGCCACCTGGAGCTCCCAAATTAGGCATCATCTGTTGGTTCTGCTGTTGGTTGACCAAAGCCTGAGCTGATTGAGGGTCATTCATGAGAATAGAGTAGACGGGCTTGAGACCAAGCAAGTTCACAAAGTACCACGAAATGGCAGACACGTAACGAACACTCAAGTCTGGAGTATTGACACCGCTTTGTAACATGCTCTTGAAGCCCTCTGTAAGCGAAAAGGGGAGTTTCATCACCACGGAGCCCGCAAAAAAGAAGTTCACCCACGCCATAATCAAGGTTTGGGGAATGAAGTTCATCATGTTACCCTTAGCCATGTTCATCAAAGCATCATTGAAGGAACCGTCAGCCAAGGGGTTCTTGATATCTTCCACGCCATCTTTCTTTGCAAGGAACTCGTCGCTCTTGAGCTTCTCCAAGTAGTAGGCTTTTCTTGTTTTGAACTCGTCGGCATTCAACACCGAGTAGTTCTGTCTGAAGGCAGCAGCTCTTTTCAAAAAGGATCTGGCGTTAGTATTTACCGAACGAGATTAACTGGAATCCACATACTTTTCTCTAGCATTCTTCACGGGTTCAATCTTGGGTTTGGAGGTAAGAAGGTAGGTCACATTAGATCTCAACAATCCCACGAGCACCATGGCAACCGTGATTGGAAGCAACATCCAGTACTTAAGCTGGGGATCAAGTAGAAGGTCGTCGATCATTTGTGTGGGGACTTGAAGTGTTCTGAGAATATGGTAGTATCAGAAATCGGTAGCCTCAAGCGTAGGTGGATTGTGCAGGCGGCACCAAATAGTGGACCAACGTTTTTGAAAATTTCCTGAAGAAATAGAAAAGAAGGAGAGGTAATGGATCAAAGTTAGACAAATTCGATCCGTATCTTCTTCAATGGTATCTTATAAGACTTAGGCAGTTATTGGAACCGTCGATTCAACCCGAGATTCTCACTTATATTCCAGCTCTTAGGGCAGGATATTAAGATGTTTTCAAGTCCAATGAATACATGTGCCTTCTCTAGACTAAAACGCTTGTCTCTGGTCACCGAGAAGCTCCTCCATTGGTTACCTTCGCAGGGCGCTTTTCCACCCTACCTCTCAACAAAGTACATCAATGATAAATCTACGTATCTTAACTCATTTTGACCCTCAACGTAAAGCTTCTCTCTCATTTGTTCCCATTGCCTGAGAATTTGTAGCCTTGGAATTTACTTCATTATGCTATTATATAAGAGGGCAGTTTGGTTTTTTTTTTTTTTTTTTTTTTTTTTTTTTTTTTTTAGGGATATGTTTTTTTTTTTAAGATTTTTAACACTTTTTCGCAGGGGCATC